CGCCTGTGTATCAATAAATCACCTCTTGCGTTTGCAGCCAGTGCCTCATGCGTCTTTCTTGGACAGGGAATCGGTGGGTCTTTCAAAACCAGGTGCATGCCAGTAATCCCAGTGGCTCAGGAGGATCGTGAGTTCAAAGTCAGCCTTAGCAATGGTGAGGTGCTAAGCAACTCAGTGAGACCCTGTCTCTAAATAAAATACAAAATAGGGCTGGGGGTGTGGCTCAGTGGTCAAGTGCCCCTAAATTCAATTCCCAGTACCAAAAATAAATACATAAATGTTTTTATAAATCAAAAGGGTTTTCTTTTCGCAGAGTCTTTAGAGGACTGAGGCAGGAGGATTCAAAGTTGGAGGCTAGCTCTGGCAGTTTAGCAAGATGCTGTCTCAAAAGAAAAAAAAATAACAAAGGCTGGGGATGCAGCTCAGTGGTACAACGTCCCTGGGTTCAATCTCTAGTAGTGGGGGAAAAAAAGGATTTTCTCAATTGTAAGACTTTATTCTCTCTGCCAACTAAACTCCTGTCACTTCCCTATATCTAGGTTTCTAACCCAGAATCTGTCTTTAGGTAAAATCTGTCTGGCTTTGCATACACATTTAGGATTTGGAGACTTTTTTTTTTTTTCTTTGCAGTGCTGGGGATCAAACCTGGACTCAGGCATGCTAGTAGGTGCTTTACTACTGAGCCATACCCCAAACCCTAACTACTGTTTTGAAAGTATACTATTTTCACAGAGCAGCTCTAGATGGGTGGAAGGAAGACAGGGGTCTGTGTGTAGTTCCTCCAAAATCCCAGGTCCAGAAGCCAGGCCTAGCATACAGTAGGTGAGCAGGTACCAGAATGAATAAGTGCACATGGAATGGCTGCTCCCAGCAGTTTTCAGAGCAGCATTCTGTATAAGAATGTCTTCTGACCCCCAACACCAGTGAAAGCCAGGACTCACAACAGGGGCATTGTGGAAGCCCTTGATAGCCTGGAAGACTCCACCTCCAATGACACCCATAGTGAAGGCTCCACCACAGTCATCCACAATTCGCCATGGGCTGCAAGCAGGAAGGGAAAGATGGAGTTAATGCAAGCTGGTCACCCCAGGCCCCAGCACCTGGACTCTTTCCAACTGGGAGAAACCATGTCACCAGAATGGGAAGTTCATGCAGCAGAAAAAAACACTTCAGATAGTAACAAGATAGCCAGGTTTGATGGCACATGCCTATAATCCAAGTCACTTGGGAGGCTAAGGAGGACCCCAAATTCAAGGCCAGTCTGGGCAATTTAGTAAGACCCTACTCAAAATTTTAAAAAGTAAGTCTGGTATGGTGGGTGCATGCCTATAATCCCAGCAACTCAAAGTCTGAAGCAGGAGGATCACAAGTTCAAGGCCAGCCTCAACAAATCAGTGAGACCCAGTCTCAAAAAAAAAAAAAAAAGGGCTGAAGATGTAGCTCAATAGTAAAATACCCCTGGATTCAATCCCAACACCCTCCCCCCAAAAGCAACAAGATTGTCTTATCACCTTCCCCCACACACACAAGAGAAACGGGTCAAAAGGGCGAAATTATTACTCTATTCCAACAAAGGAATCAGCCAACTGTTTAACCCCTATTAAAATTTGAGTTGGCACATTTCAATTAGGGATATAGAAGTGTTAACTAGCTGGGCACGGTGGTGCATGCCTGTAATTCCAGACATTCTGGAGGAGGCTGGGGCAGAAGGGTTGCAAAATCGAGGTCAGCCAGGACAATTTAGGGTGACCCTGTTTCAAAAAAATAAGGACTGGAGAAATGGCTCAGGGCAAGAACGCCCCTGAGTGCAATCTACATTACCACAAAGAGAGAGAGAGAGAGATTTAATTAGTTAGTACTGTTACTAAAGCAGGGCCTGGTGACACGCCCTTCTCAGACGATCAGCCCTGTACATCCAAGCCCCACTCCTTTTACACCTAACACCAGGGAAAATCCAAAAAGACCACAAGGAGGATCCCAGCGCCCCCGCCTTGCCCACAAATAGGCTCATCCACGCCCCGCCCCTATTTACAAAAGCGACGTGGGAAAAACCATGTTTTATAACCCTGGGGGTTTCCACTCAACACCGTAGCCCCCCTCCGCTGAAGTGGATTTGACCAGCGGTATCATTTTGATAACAAAGAGGGACTATGAGATACGAAGTCAGGGGAAATGTTTGGTAGTCCGTACTGCACCGCACCTACTCAAGCACACAACTGTGGATTCTCTTAACAGAGCCTGAGTGGGAGGAGCCAGGTGAGGGGGCGGAAGGAGTTAAGTTTCTGAGAGTCTCCCGAGTTCGGTACGTGACACTGTGTGGCCTGTGTGTCTCCCGTCCACCTCCCATGGCTGGCCTGGGCGCCACAACCGCAGTCCCAGTGCCTGTGACTGTTGTCGTACCAAGGCTCCTCCATGGCGCCCGCGTCTGGCGGCGCAGTCTGGCGGGACCCTAACCAGGCCACGCCCCCAGTGTCAACGCATATAGGCGCGCGAGCTTTTCACCTCGTCCAGGGAAACGATTGGGTCGCTTCGCTACTCGTCAAGCCAAAGGAGCACTCTTATTGGTCAGCTATGTTTGCGTCATCAGTCCACTGCAGCCCTTGCGTCGCCCAGTTACCTCGAGGCTTGGGGAAGAGGACCTCATTCTGTGCTTCGAGGGGGAAAAATATAGATTCGTGTGGTACTGGTGATAATAGTGGCGAAGAGGGTGTGTCGGCCGGTCTAACAGCTTTTCCACTACCCGCACGATTGTTTTGGTAATCCTGGAGTGGGCACATATGTTTAGATCTGGAGGAGGTGTTGCATCCAGCTCCCCCATCCCAACGCCTTAGTTCCTCCCACCCAGCAGTCTTTGAGGGACAGTGGGTGAGCCCACTTCTGGGGTGCAGCACATGGCACACTCAGCAGTGGGTGGAGCCTGTGCCTGGAAGAGGAACTGGGTCCTGCAGCATCCGGTCTCGAGAGCAGGGTTGGTGAGAATTTTGGTGATACTGCCACCTATCTCTTCCATCTCTTAGCACGTAGATTGTTAGTCTAGCTATTGGTGCAGTTAGGTAGGTGGAGGTCGTAAGAGTAGTACAGGCTTCAGGGAGATTCTTGGTTATTAGATCTAGATTAGATTCTTCATTTGAACTGATTTTCAGTCTTGTCTTTCCGTCCCTAGGTCTGTCACCTACCGCTATGCCGCTGCCGGTTGCACTGCAGACCCGCTTGGCCAAGAGAGGGATCCTGAAACATCTGGAGCCTGGTGAGAAAGCTAAGAGTAGATGGGCCTACGATTTGCCAGTCTTGACAGGCACTTTGTTTTTATGTCGGCACTTGGTAACCAGCAAGGGCCTAGTGTGTCCCAACCAGTGACATGGCAGGCATCTCATTGCTAACAATATTATTTACTGACATCCATTCCTACTGTGTGCTAAACACTGTATGTAGGAAGGGTTGGAGGTTAGATATTTCATCCTTATCAATACCCATATCAGATGCCATGTTCAATCCATGAATCAAGGTGGTGCAATGACGTGCACCTACAGACCAAGATATTCAGGAGCCTGAGGCAAGGTGGGGGGAATTTCTTGAGCTCAGGAGTTCTAGGCCAGTCTGGACAACAATCATGAGACACAATTTCAAAAATAATTAAAATAAATCTGTGAATCAATCTGTAGGGTTTAACTACATGGTATCTAATAGGAAGGATAGTTGACAAATCCTGCAGTCTCTTGTTGTCAAGTATAGTGGTGGGGTGATGTTTTGTTGTCTACTATAGATAGCATGTGTCTCACAGGTCCTCTGGTGATTGACACAACAGTGGTGACGTATACTTTATTGTTCACCATATCAACAGCTGACATGTATTTGGGACCTAAGAACATGGCATACTTATTATGCCTAACAGTCTAAAATGATGGTTAGGATCTATCACTTAGGCCTACTGTGTTTCTAGCTGCTAATTATATCTTATGGTCAATAATATTAAAACATGGTATATATTTTAGGCTATGGTGTGCCAGGCACTAAAAAAGGTATCATACTATTTCCTTGTTGATATTATTACAAGACCACTGTGTGCCAGGCATAGAACTTGTGGTTAATAGTATTAAGAGTATTGGTTTTTGGTGGTGCTAAGGATTGAACCCAGGTTTCTGAGTATGCTAGGCAAGTGCTCTACCACTGAGCTACACCCCCAATTCCATATCATTGACATTTTTTTAAGCCTATTAAGTACTAGGTGCACTGCTGATGTAGAAATACATCTTATTAGCAATATTGATGATTATATCTAATATCTATTTCAGGCCTACTGTGTGACAGTCATTATACCATTACTGGCATCTACATTTCATTGTTAATTATAAGCACAGCTAAAGTCTGCTATAGGATCTACTGATAGCCAGCACTGAGCTGATAGTAGACACTTTTTATTCTATTGATATTAACTGACATCTGTTGCAGGCTTACTAAGACCTCAGAAACTTAATGGATTCAGAGCAATGTTTGGATAAGTCCCTTTTGCTACCCAAACTCTTGCTACTCAATATAGAGGAATCAGGAACCCTGTACTCACCAAACTTGGAAGCTGAATAGATTGGACATTATTTTTAGATAACCCCCTTGCTGATCAAACTCACTTCATCTACATAGGTTGGGATAACGTGAACTCAGGAACTGAATGGATATGGATAAATTTTTTCTTGGGAATACTGGGCCTTGTGCATGCTGGACAAGTGCTCTACCACTGAGCCATACCCCCAGCATGACATGGATAATTTTTTTTTTTATGAATTCCTATCAACTCTGAAACCAGATAGGTTTGGATAACACTATAAACTCATCGTCTGGACCCAGAACCAAAAGATTTAGGTAAATTTTCTGGCAAATTCCCCAAAACAGATGTGCTTGAAATGTAAGAAGTACTTCATTTGCTTCCTGGCACACACATACACCCAAGTGTCTTCCACATGTGATTTGTGTGGATATGAGTGTGCCTCTCCAGGCCCTGACTGTAGGATGAGAACTCCCCTGTTCCTTAACTGCTCTCCTCCTCCTCCTCCTCCTCCTCCTCCCCCCTCCTCCTCTTCCCTCCTCCTCCTCCTCCTCCTCCTCGTTCTGCTAGAACCGGAGGAAGAGATCATTGCTGAGGACTATGATGATGATCCTGTGGACTATGAGGCCACCCGGTTGGAGGGCCTGCCACCCAGCTGGTACAAGGTGTTCGACCCTTCCTGGTGAGCCTGGGGACCTGGGGGGGAAGGGCAACTGACTTTTGAGTTTGCCCTTCCTTGTTGTCCCTGACTGTGGGGCATATAGGGTACACGGGAAGAGATCTGGGGTCCTGACATGGGGCAGATATAGGCAGAGATTGGGGAGACAAAGAGTTCTTACAAGTAGAAGACATCTGTGCTGACACTCCTTCCCTCCCACTGCCCCACAGCGGGCTCCCTTACTACTGGAATGTGGACACAGACCTCGTGTCCTGGCTCTCCCCACATGACCCCAACTCCGTGGTTACCAAATCTGCCAAGAAGCTCAGGAGCAGTAATGCAGGTGAGTTGGCAGATCCAGTGGTGCCTCGAGACTTGCAGTTCTGAGAGGGGCCAAGTAAATTTTAGTGGATCAAGGAGGGGCAGATGAGACCAAGCAGGCCCAGCCCCAGGCTAGTGAGGATGTTAAAGGTGGAGACTGCTGGCTCCTGGAATGGGAGAAAGTCACTTCAGGACTTTCATGTTTTCCCTAGATGCTGAGGAGAAGTCGGACCGGAGCCATGAGAAGTCAGACAGGGGCCATGAGAAGTCGGACAGGGGCCATGAAAAGCTGGACCGGGGCCATGACAAGTCGGATCGGAACCATGACAAGTCTGACAGAGATCGAGAACGTAGCTATGACAAAGTAGACAGAGAGAGAGAACGGGACAGGGAACGGGATCGGGACCGTGGGTATGACAAGGCAGACCGGGAAGAGGGCAAAGAACGGCGCCACCATCGCAGGGAGGAACTGGCTCCCTACCCCAAGAGCAAGAAGGGTAAGCAAAGCAGGCTGG